GGAGCCCCCCAGCCTTGGCCAGGAGCCCCCCGGCTGAGGTTTCCAAGGGCGTTTTCTCCTTGACGGCATCGCCGAGATCCTCCCGACCGCCGAGACCCGGCAGAGGGATTCAGCGCTGCTGCTGCTGCTGCAAAGGCCTGGACCAGCCACCGCTTCCTGGGACCACGCTCAGGTCGTGCTCTGGGGATCAGCCACCGGCTGCAGCCCCTGCCCGGCCGGGCCGGCCCCAGCCCAGGGGGGAGCTGTGGGGCAGCCCCTCTCCGCCGGGCGTATTCCCATCTCCGAACCCACAGGCCCTCGCGCTGGTCCCCTGCCACCGGCTCAGTGGCTGCTGCAAGGTCACCACCCTCCCTGTCGCCCTGTCCGTTCCTCTCCAGGTTTGTGCTGCTGCGCTCTCCCACGCCAACCAAAAGGGCATTTTGATGCTTGCAGGGAGCTGGATGGTCTGAAGAGAGGAGCTGTGGAGCTCCCCCAGGAGCCCCGGTGCTACCAGTGAGGCAGCATCATGCTGGCTCCGAAGAAAGGCCTGCTGTGCAACCTCAACCACATCCATCTGCAGCACATCTCCCTGGGGCTGCACCTCTCCCGGCACCCAGAACTCCAGGAGACCTCTGCCTCCATGGGTGGAGGAGACCAGACTGGCTGCAGCGACTGCTCAGAGAACTGTGAGCAAGTGGATGCCAATTCCAACAATCCCTCCTTGAAATGCCGGTGTTGTGAGTCCCACACTCAGCAGCCGGTGACGTTGGGTCTCCAGAACCAGGCAGCTCAAGAGGATTTCCCCTGCCTGCATGCTGGGGAGGAGGTGGCTTCCCCTTGTGATCCCCCTTGTGATCTGGCTTCTTCCTCCTCCTCCTCCTCCTCTGTCAGTAGCTGCTTGCACTTCAGCTTGGATGACTCCCCAGTCTCCGTGTACTGCAAAGGGTTTTCCAGAGAGGAGTCCCAATCCCCCGAAAATCAGCCCACCATCATTCCCATAGAAGACGCCCAGGATGGCCAGTCGCTGGCTGACCGGAGCAGGACATGTGATGGAAGAGATGCCAACCTCAACCCCCCGCTGCTCCAGAGATCGGACACCCTGCCTGGGGAGAGCCCGGACAGCCTCTGCAGCATCACCTCGCTCGACTCCCAGCGCGATGGGACCTCTCCCAGTACACTGGCGCAGGAGACCACCGGCATCTGCACCAACCTAGACCCGAACTGCAACTCCCTCCCCAACCCTGATGCCGTGCCTCCGGCACCGCCTGCACCAGGATGGTGGGAGCCCGGTCTGAGCAGCATTCCCGAGCCACGGCCCCGGGCTGGCAGCGTCCCCCCGCCCGTGCCTCCCCGGCCCCGGAGACGACTGCAGGTTCTCAATGCCCACAGAGCAGAGCAGCCGCTCCTGCCTGCGCAGCCAACGCAGCCAGAGCCCAGCTCGGGTGACCTTTGCAGAGACGTGGGCAAGAAGACCATCACC